TGAGTATCTGAGAGGTTACTTGCTAGTGAAAAGACAACAATAAGAACAGTAAATACTGGCGGCGCCTGTTGCTCAGGGAATACGGCACCAGCCCCATATACTGAGGGTGGCGGGTTCAAACCTAGCCCTGGCCAAACTGCAACAAAAAAAATAGCCGGGCGTTGTGGCGGGCGCCTATAGTCCTAGCTACTCGGAGGCTGAGGCAAGAGCATCGCCTAAGCCTAGGAGTTGGAGGTTGCTGTGAGCTCTGTGATATCATGGCACTCTACCAAGGGTGATAGAGTGAGACTCTGTCTCAAAAAAACCCGAAAAAACCAGTAAATACCTCCAGTTTGGCTCCAGAGGGAGAGCTATCTTTATTATAATGTTTATAATGGCTCCAGAATCTCTAATTTGAGATATCCAGTTATTAAAAGAGAATAAATTATAATGGAAACATATTAAAATATTTTAAAGTGCTTTAGCAAGCTACATTTAAAAATTGCTTATTATAAGGCCAGGTGTAGCGGGTCATGCCTGTAACCCTAGCACTCTGAGAGGCTGAGGTGGATGAATCACTTGAACTCAGGAGTTGGAGACCAGCTTGAGCAAGAGTGAGACCCCAGCTCTACTAAAAAAATGAAAAAAACTGAGGCAAGAGGATTGCGTGAGCCCATAAGTTTGAGGTTGCTGTGAGCTATGATGCTACAGCACTCCACCCAGGGTGAAAAAGTGAGACTGTCTCCAAAAAAAAAAAATTGCTTATTATAGAAAATACACCCAAAATAACTAATGATGTTAACTATCTTGCCCTTATTTTAGACCTGTTTTTATACATAGTTAAGATCATGCAATGTGAATAAGGTTTTTATATATCTTTGTTTATTTAGTGTCATAGTATACATATTTTCCCCATATTCGCTTTTGTTTGTTTTTGTTTTGAGTATTTTTTTTTACTTTTTCAAATTAATAGGAGGGTACGATTTTTTTTTTCTTTGAGACAGGTCTTACTATATCACCCTTGGTAGGGTACGATGGCATCGCAGCTCACATCAACCTCAAACTCTTGGGCTTAAGCAATTCTCTTGTCTCAACCTCCCAATTAGCTGGCATAACAGGTGCCCACCACAATGCCCGGCTATTTTTGTATTATAGTTGTCATTGTTGTTTGGCAGGCTTGGGCTGGGTTCAAACCCCCTAGCCCTGGTGTATGTGGCCAGCACCCTAGCTGCTGAGCAACAGGTGCTAAGCCAGGAGGATGCGATTTTAGGTTACATTGTTCTCACTTCCAGGGTAAAGTTCCATTTGTAGAAGAGTCCCTCACCCAGGGGGTGTGTTATCCACCCTCACAATCCCCATATTCTTAAAAAAACCTGTTATAAACTGTTTAACTGGTTTCAGGTTTTTTCAGGTTTTTGGAGGTGCTATAATAATTTACATTGATTTTGGTTTTTTCTTTAAAAACAATGCAAGGCTGGAGGGCGGTGCCTGTGGCTCAAGGAGTAAGGCTCCCGCCTCATATACCGGAGGTGGGTCAAACCCAGCCTAGCCAAAAACTAACAGCAACAAAATAAATAAGTAAATAAAAACAATAAAAAAAAATACAAGGCTGAATAAGGGACATCTCTGTGCGTAAAGGCTTTTTCTTTTCTTTGAGCCATTTGCTTACTTTAGCTTAGTTCTATGGTTTTCAAGTGCATCAGAATTACCTGGAAGGCTTGCTAAACACAGGCTGCTGGATCCCACTGAGGGAGTTCTGATTGAATAGGTGTGAGGGGAGACCCCAAAATAACCAATAAGTTCCGAGGTAATGCTAATGCTGCTGGTGTGGAAACTGTATTTTGGGAACTATTGATCTATGTTATTGACAATGAAACTGTAATATTGAGGTTAAGTTTCTAAGTGAGTGGGAGTGATTATGATCTTGAGTGAAACTCAAAGATAGTTTCATGTACTGACTTGTATCAGGGAAGTTGAAGAGCTGTAGGATCATATGGGCATCTCAGCATTGAGAATTTGTGCAGTTTGTGAATATGTATGATGAGTGTTAGGAGGTAAGGATATTGTGATGAATAAAACATAACTCTGTTGTAGAGTAAGACAAATATGTCATAACCAAGAAGTACCACAAGGAAAGTACAAACAAAGGGCTTTACAGTTCAAAGGAAGTAAAAGTCATCTTTGGTGGACATGTCAAAATGTATGAAACTAAGAAATGGAAGGTCTCAGAAGAGCTTGATTTTTTAAGGAATTTCAAAAGTATGATATCAGTAAACCTTGAGTATTTCAGCCCAGATGGCCCAAGTTCAAAACCCAGTTCTGTGCTTTGTTATGTTAGACAAATTATTGTGAGTCTGTTTTTTGTTTGTTCGTTTTGTTTTTTTGAGACAGTCTCACTACATTGCTCTTGGTAGAGTGCCCTGGCATCGCAGCTCACAGCAACCTCCAACTCTTGGGCTTAAGGGATCCTCTTGCCTTACCCTCCCAAGTAGCTGGGACTACAGGTGCTTGCCACAACGCCTGGCTATTTTTTTTGTTGTTGTTGTTGCAGTTGTCGTTGTTTAGCTGGCCTGGGACAAGTTCAAACCCACCACCCTCAGTGCATGTGACTGGCGCCATAACCACTGTGCTACTGGTGCCGAGCCTGTGAGTCTGTTTTTTGATCTGTAAAATAAGGATAATACCTTAGGGATATTTGTGGAGATAATGTAATAAAACACTCAGCACAGTATTTTGTAGGGAGCACTCAAAAATTGTTGAATTGTTGAATAAATGGTAAACTTCTCAAAGGTTTTCCCTTGGTATCACTGAACATTGTAATTAGCAGGGTCAAATCACTAGCAACATTCAGTGCCATAGAAGTGATTGATACCTTCTGAAACAGCTTTCCTCTGAATTTATTTATTTATTTATTGAGACAGAGTCTCTCTTTGCCCTCAGTAGAGTACCATAGCGTCACAGCTCACAGCAACCTCAAACTCTTAGGCTTAAGAGATTCTCTTGCCTCAGCCTCTGAAGTAGCTGGGACAACAGGCACCCGCCACATTGCCTGGCTATTTTTTTTAGAGACAGGGTCTTGGTCTGGCTCAGGTTGGTCTCGAACTCGTGAGCTCAGGCAATCTACCTGCCTTGGCTTCCCAAGTGTTGGGATTACAGGCGTGAGCCACTGCACCAGCTGAATTAAATTTAAAAGGAAATTTTATAACAAAATAAGTGATATGTAGGAAGCGTGAAGTATGCTGCTATATTAATCTTATATTAAGTTAGAACCTTGAATGAACTCTGATTAAATTTGCTTTCATCAGATATCAGCATACCTAGGCATTGCTTTCTTCTTGTTTACTTAAATGTTACATAACAGTGAGGTGCTTTTTCTTCTTTGGCTACTCTGTGCGAACTAGTCTTTCCCATTCCCTGTCTCTTTTATTTTGCTTTTGTGTCCACAGCACTGATAGATATTTTCTTGTATGTGCTCCAATGTGTGTTCCATTAAGTAAGGCCTTTGTTCCATTAATGCTGTATTTTAGCACGTAGACTAGTGCCTGAATCATAGCAGCAAATGAATGAATTGATGAATGAACCAATTGAGGGTATTTAGGAGAAAATGAAAGAAAAAGGTATTGGGGTTCAGGCAGGGTGGCTTACGCCTTATAATCCTAGCACTTTGGGAGGCCGAGGCAGGTGGATTGCCTGAGCTCACGGGTTTGAGACCAGCCTGAACAAGAATGAGACCCCCATCTCTAAAAATCGCTGGGTGTTGTGATGGGTGCCTGTAGTCCCAGCTACTTGGTAGGCTGAGGCAAGAGAATTACTTCATCCCAGGAGTTTGAGGTTGCTGTGAGCTATGACGTCACACCACTCTACCAAAGGCAACAGAGTGAGACTGTCTCAAAAAAAAAAAAAGGTATTGGGTTAATTCTTTCCTTTTTTAATGTGATTGGGCTTCTGTTGGGAAACTTCTGATATCAGAATTTTAGGCCTTTGATTTGAGATTGTCAGATTTCCAGATTTCTGGAGGTAATGGCCTAATTTATCAGCATTCTAGGAGCCTGTAAGAGTAAGAGGGTTAGGGTGTTGGGTGGATGATATGGGAGAGGTTTGTGCAACGAGGTCTCTTGGCAGTGGCATATTTAAATGTACTTAATTTATCTGTTTATTTGTATTTGTTTATTGATATATGTTGTACATATTTTGGGGGTACATGTGGTATTTTGATACCTTATATAATGTGTAATGATCGAAGGGTAACTGGGATAGCCATCACCTAAAACATTTTTTTTTTTGGTAACATTAAAAGTATTTTTTCCTAGTAGTTTTGGATATATAATAAATTATTGTTAAGTTTAATTTCTCTACTATACTGTCGAATACTAGAACTTATTCCTTTTATCTAACTTATTTTTGTACCCCTTAACCAACTTCTTTTCATCTCCCCCCTCCACCCTTCTCTTCCCAGCCTCTGGTAACTACCATTGTACTGCTTACCTCCATGAGAGCCTTTTTTTTTTTTTTTAAAGCTCACACATATGAGTTGAGATTCTTTCTTTTAAAACAGGTTTTGTGAACATATTTAACATCAGTTGCAATAAACTTACATTTTAAGCTCCTGCTACTATATTTTGAGGATGTTCTAAGTTCTTTGGAATGGCTTTGTATACCATAGCTTCTGCAGTGATATTTGTTGAGAGAAAAGTAAGGCATCCACTCGTATATAACCAGTGGTATGATCACAGGTCACTGTAGCCTTCGGCTCCTCAAGCAATCTTCCTGTCTCAGCCTCCTGAGTAGCTGGGACTATAGGCATGAATCATAGACAGAGTTAAGAGATTCAAGTCACACAAATTGTCTTCTAAATTTCTCCTTTATTACGGAGGAAAGAGAAGAGTTTCTGTTGATGAAAAGGTTTGTACACTTCCTAGTGCATTAGGTCAGAGTGGTTTATTGTCTAGTGCTCTCATTTTGGAGATATTACAGTTGACTAGTAGTTTTAGGTGCTAATAACGTTTTTACCTTTATTTCAGAGAAGCTTGATTCTTTGCTCTCAGACTATGATATCCTCTCCTTATCCAATATCCAGCAGCACTCGGTAAGAAAAAGGGATCTACAGGCCTCGACACATTTAGAAACACTACTAACTTTTTCAGCTTTGAAAAGGTAATTTGAATTATTCATATAATAATGTTGGGGCAGTAAGGGATGAGGTTTGGCAAAAACAGAAAAATACTGAAATCTTTGGAAATTATAGTCTAAAGCAGGGATGTCCAACTTTTTTTTTCCTTTGCTGCATTTTGGAAGAATAAGGGTTGTCTTAGGCCACACATTAAACCCACAAATACTAAGAAAAGCTGATGAGCAAAAAGAAGGTCCATGCACACTTTTCATGATATCTGACACCACAGATAAGCAAAAAAAGTTCTCACAATATCACCATGCTGCCCATGGCAGGTTGGACACTCCTGTTCTAAAGATTAGTAACTGACATAATTACGATCTGTTATATATGATTGTTACATAATACAATGCCTATTCTAAGAGTCATTCTGATGATGAGTATTTTTTAAAAAGTAAGTGGGTGTTCCAAAGGTATTAATGGTGGTAATGATGTTTATAAAATTCTAATAAAAATAAGTATAATTAATTGAGTGCTTATGACACTTTACATTTTGGGTGCTACTTTAGAACCATCTTCCATGTATTATTATCTTTATTTTATATATGAAGACATAAAGATTTTGCCTTTTTATGTTTGTTTTTTATATAGAGTCTCTCTCTTTTGTCTGGGCTGGAGTTCAGTGGCGTCACTGCTCACTGCAGTCCGCTTGCCTCAGTCTCCCAAGTAGTTGGGACTACAGGCATGTGCCACACACCTTGTTAATTTTTCTAACTTTTGTAGAGATGGGGTCTCATTCTTGCTCAGGATGGTCTAAAGCTCCTGGTCCAAGCAGTCCTCTCACCTCGGCCTCTTAAAGTGTTATGATTACAGGTGTGAGCTATAAGACCTGGCCAAAAGATAAGGGTTTTATTCAGGATCCCATGGCCTGGGTAGTGAGCTGGGTCTAGAATTTGGTGTTCTTTCTGAATTGAGTTCCACTTACTTCATAGCATAAACTGTATTATATTTGGGCAGTAATTTTAATATTGCTTGTGTTGTCTTATAGATTGAAATCTGTTTCATAATTGCAGGTCTTTTTCTAGAGTCTTTATAGGAAGCTTTGTCCAATATTAAAACAAATATAAACAAAAACCCCACAAAACTATGAGAATATAAATGGTATAAGTTATTCTTTATTTTAAAAAATATATGTGCACCTGGTTTAAAAAACAAATAAGAGAATGAGGGAAAGTTATTGGGTCAAGGATATGTTTACTATAAATTTTTATTGATGTTGTGGTTTCTTCCCACAGATGAGAATAGGTTTGCCAATAATAGGTTGGTTTTTTGTTTTTTGTTTTTTTTTTTGAGACAGAGTCTCACTCTGTTAACCTGGGTAGAGTGCCCTGGCGTCATCCTAGCTCACAGCAACCTCAAACTCTTGGGCTCAAGAGCTTCTTTTGTTTCACCCTCCTGAATATCTGGAACTATAGGTGCCTACCACAACACCCTGCTAGTTTTTCTATGTTTAGTAGAGATAGGGTCTTGGTCTTGCTCAGGCTAGTTTCAAGCAAGGTGATCCACCTGCTTCGGTCTCCCACAGTATTGGGATTATAGACATGAGCTACCTGACCTGGCCCCCAATAATATGTTTCATCAGCCTTTAACTTTCACCTGTCTGGAAGAGGATGGTACCTCATAGCTGTTTTGATTTTAGTTTTGTATAAATTTGAGCATTTTTCATGTTAGTAAGTCATTTGCTGTATTTTTCTGTGAATTGCCTTTTCATACCCTTTGACCATTTTTCTATTGGTTTTGTCTTATGGCTACTGAGTTGTAGTAGTGTAAGAGAATTGGGGCTCAGCGCCTGTAGCTCAACGGCTAGGGCACCGTCCACTTTCACTGGGGCTGGCAGGCTCGAAACCCATCCAGGCTTACCAAACAACAACAACTACAAAAAAAAAAAAAAAAAAGAGGCAGGTGTTGGGGCGGGTGCCTATAGTCTCAGCTTCTTGGGAGGCTGAGACAAGAGAATCGTTTAAGCCCAAGGGTTGGAGATTGCTGTGAGCTGTGATGCCATGGCACTCTACGGAGGGTGACATAATGAGACTCCGTCTTTAAAAAAAAAAATAAAGAAAATTGGTTCATTACTGCACATAATATGGATATTTTATGCAAATGTTTTGCTATATTTTTGTTTTTCCTAACTATAAGCATCATCCTTAGGGTATTTTTGAATAACTTCCTTTTGTTAGATTTTATATCAAAATATTACAATATTGGTTATCTAGCTTTTAACCTACAGCAAATTTAGCAGAGTGATAATAACAGTAGCTACAGTTTATCAGGTGCTTATTTTCTGTAATTTTCACTATATTCTGCATGGAAGATTTTCCCTTTGAAGGCAAAAAAAAAAAATGAAGAAAAGAAAGAAAGAAAGAAAATCTAACAAAAAAACATTGAGGCTCAAAGAGGTTAAAAACTTGTCCAAGATCACTCAGCTAGTAAATGGCAAAATAGGATTTCAACGTCTGACTCCAAAACTTGTGTTATTGCTACTACACTGGTAGGGAGTTTATTGAAAGGGTGGATGTAGTGTCAAGAACTGAGTTGGGGAAGGTTGTGGTGGCTCATGCCTATAATCCTAACACTTTGGGAGACTAAGGCAGGTGGATTGCTTGAGCTCAGGAGTTTGAGACTTAAAAACAGAAAAACTAGCTGGGTGTTGTGGCGGGTGTGGTTCTAGCTACTCGGGAAGCTGAGGCAAGAGGATTACTTGAAACCAGGAGTTTGAGGTTTCTGTGAACTGCTATGCCAGAGCACTCTACCTAGGGCAACAGTGGAACAAAAAAAAAAAAAAAAAGAAAGAAAGAAAGAAAAAAACTGAGTAGGACCAAGAGAAAAGGGAGGAACTAAATGTTAAGAACTCAAAGTTTAGTTTTCTGGGTTTATGTTAAAGATAGATTTGAGATGGCTTATAGAATCCTTACTCTAGGGCAGTGGTTCTCAACCTTCCTAATGCCGCAACCCTTTAATACAGTTCCTCAGGTTGTGGTGACCCCCAACCATAAAATTATTTTCGTTTGCTACAACAGATGAAAGGTTGAGAACTACTGCTCTAGGGGCAGACACTCCTGTGACCTTTTCCTTTTTCATGTTTCATTGAAGACATTGATTCACTCAGAAAATGTTTAATATTCACTTTGTATAAGGAAGCAGGAAAGTTTGTAATTTATTTACAGTTTTATCTTAAATGTTTAATGGGAAATGTATCTAACAATCTATGAGAACTTGTACCAGGTGCTTTAAAAAGGTTATTTCATTCAACCCTCAAAACCATTCAGCTAGTAGGTGATGTTCTTTCTATTTGTTAAAAAGTATTGAGGTCCAGAGATTAAGGGTAAAGTCAGTGAGTAAGTGGTAGAGGTAGGATTTGAGCCACATTGTCAGTCTCCAAAGTCCGTATCCTTTTCCTTCTATCATATTGTGTTATTAAAGCTTGCTTTCTTTTTTTTTTTTTTTAATCCTGGAGTAACCAAAATGATCAATTTGTATCAGGGCTGAACCTACCTAAGTGAAGTCACTTATTACTTGGTGGTGATAGTAAATGAGAAGATTCTATATTTATTTATTTATTTATTTTTGAGACAGAGTCTCATTTTGTTGCCACTGGCAGATTGTAGTGTCATTATAGCTCACAGCAACCTCAGACTCTTGGACTCAAGCGATTCTCTTGCCTCAGCCTCTTGAATAGCCGGGACTGCAGGTGCCAGCCACAACACCTGTCTATTTTTAGAGATGGGGTATTGAAACGGGGTCTTTAGAATAAGAGCACTTTTTGATTACAGCAAAGAGGAAATGCAACTTGAAAGGCAAATTCTAAACTTTTTTTTTTCAAAAAATCAGTTGAATTCATTACACAATGTCTCACCATTACCAAGCCTTTTTAACCTCTGATAGTCACATCGAAATTTAATATAATGATCTCGCTTTAAATTACTTTGCCTTGCCTTCCACTGCTATTTAAAAACAGAATCTTCTGGGCCGGGCTTGGTAGCTCACACCTGTAATCCTAGCATCTGGGAGGCAAAGGCAGGTGGATTACCTGAGCTCACAGGTTTGAGACCACCCTGGGGCAGAACGAGACTTTGTCTCTAAAAAAAATAGCTGGGTGTTGTGGCGAGCGTCCCAGCTACTTGGGAGTCTGATGCAAAAGAATCCCTTGAACCCAAGAGTTTGAGGTTGCTGTGTGCTATGATGCCCTGGCACTCTACCAAGGGTGACAAAGTTAAGACTCTGTCTCAAAAAATAAATAAATTATGCAAAGACTTCAGATACTGTTTGGTACTATTTTGATAATGTTATCAGAATTTATTTATTTTTTATTTTTTTTATTTCTTTTGAGACAGAGCCCCAAGCTGCCACCCTGGGTAGCGTGCCATGGCTTCACTGCTCACAGCAACCTCCAACTCCTGGGCTCAAGCGAGTCTCCTGCCTCAGCCTCCCAAGTAGCTGGGACCACAGGCGCCCGCCACAACGCCCGGCTATTTTTTGGTTGCAGCCATTATTGTTGTTTGGCGGGTCCGGGCTGGATTCGAACCCGCCACCTTAGGTGTATGTGGCTGGTGTCTTAGCTGCTTGAGCCACAGGCACCGAGCCATCAGAATTTATTTTTGAAAAACTTAAATGTTTCTCCTAAAAGTGAAATATCTCAAATTTTGTTTAAGGAGGAATAGGACTGATAAACAAATGAAAGTGATACAGCCAACTACTTAGTCCATTAAAAATGGATAGGAAAATGTTAATTTGGACTGTTGTTTAGCACTAATCTGTAGTTACTGTAAATGTTTAAACTGAGAGTCAGAAAGATAAATGAAGATGTTCAAGAATTCTTAAGTGATTTCATGTAATTTTGGGGAGAAAGAAAAAGAAATTTTCACTGTCATTATCTTATTTGAAGGGTTTTTTAATAGCTCAAAAGCTTAAGAATAGAAAATTTAAAAAAACATGAATTTTACCATCACTTTTTTTATTTTTAAAGACCATAATATTCTTTTGTTTTTATCAGTTCAGTATTGAAATAAGAATAGAGTCTTTACAGATTCTTAATGTAGAAAATGAAAAATGCGATTCTGGTGATTTTTCTGGAAAGAACATTAATTAAAAGTAATATTGCAACTCATAGAGAGGTTTAAAACTAAATATTAGTAATAAAGCATTTATAATAGGGATGTTTTTCCTGTCAATTACTCAGCATAACTGAAGGGGAAAATATCATAACTGAGAATGTGTGGGAATTTGCATTTTAGGATAACAGGAGAAAAGGTTCCAAGGTTTTATGAAATAACATTGTATTGTGTCTCTTTCCTTCTGACCATCAAAAAACCACAAGCAAACTAAAATTACCTTGTTATGCTCAAAAAGTTAAAAATATTTGTTGTCATGGAGACAGGCCCAGTCTAGATTTCTTCCCAGAAGTTTAAAGACTTACACAAACCAGTGGGGGAAGTAACACTTCATATTTTCAAACCACAGCTGACAAAGTTTGTCCCTGTAGTAAGATGAACAGCATATCATTCTTTGTCTTTGGTGTTCATGAGCACATTGAGAGGGCTGTGTAAATAATAATTGAGGAAATCTTGTTCATTCCCAGTTTTTATTTCAGAACCGAAACTTATAGAAAACACCTAAAGAACTGGAGTGCAGATTTCAATGTCTGTCTTGGATACTTTGTATTTATATCCTTAATAATAATCATGGATTAATTTTTTCATGATACATTCTTCTAAGGGGGAAAAATTATGAGGGCTTTTAAATTTAGATAGCGGCATTTGGCTCGAAGCCTGTAGCTCAAGTGGCTAAGGCACAGGCCACATACACCAGAGCTGGCGGGTTTGAATCCAGCCCAGGCC